AATATAACTTCCGGTCAAGTCCCGATTTCCAGCTGGTTGATAACGTTTTTGTTCAGATTTAATAGAATAATAAGGGATGGATGATTAACTGCAATCCATTTACACAGAAGTATGGCGAAACCCTTATCACTGTAGTGGAACAAGCATACAGTCATATGCCATAATGCTACATTATATGACTGAATACTAAAGAGTTCGTGAAAATAGGTGTATTACCAGAGAAACTAAACAACTGGTCCTGAATATGTCAGTGGTAATAAATGTATCATAGTATCATTTTAGAGCACAAAGGACTATTCACAGCTGTAACAAAAGCGGTCACACAAACATTCAAACCTGTTAAGTATAGTCTTTACTATCATTATTTCGCTGCCTTGGAGATTATAGAATTTCTCCGGGTATTCTCAACAGGTAATAAGTCACTTCCACTAAGCGTGGTTTGCATTGATTTGAAGAATAGAATGATGAATGAAGCTTTCTACTTGCAAAGCACACACTATCGATGTGTCCTAACACCTGTTCAAGACATCTTGAAAATTCTTCTGTTTCTGCATCAAAGAAAGCAAGTCACTTCTGGCATTATTATGAGCCATAGAGTGTGTTGAATATTAATGTCAGTAAAAAGTTTGTACATAGTGGAATAGGTCGAATAAATTATAATTACATTTGGATAGTTTGAACGCAGTGGTAAGATTTTTGTTTTGGTAATATTTTGAGCAAAATTACTACCGTTATCATATCAACTGTTGGAATTGTTTTTTAATTCGAACAATTGCAACAGGAGTTTTATGAAAATTTTCATTTCTCAAAAGATGTGGCAATTTTTCTTCATCATATCTAGATTTGTCACTACTAAAGATTATGTGACATAAGGATGAATAGCGTTAGGGGAGAGATTTGGGAACTGACAAAATATCAGATTCCTCCTACCGAATAGTTCACGGCCTATTTCCTTATAGAAATTTCCCTCACCTGACATTTGTCAAAATTTTCTAGTCAGGAGATAGTAATAATGACATTGGATATTTATAACCAATGAAATGATTGAAATTTCCGAAAATTGCCAGTCCTTTTTCTGATTGGCTGAACGCTAGAATTATTTTCTGACTTTGTCTTACAGACACATACATTATGAACGATCAAGAAAATTCGACACGTGGTGCTTTCCAGATATCTCATATACTGGGAACGTCGCTACGTTCAAGCGAGACTTCGGCAAGAGAACTGTTGGGATCTTCAACAAATCAAGCACGCTTGATTCAGAGAGAAGAAGTAGAGAGCCTTATTGAAGAAACAGATATACAACAAAGCGTTTACAATTTCGCCCCCAAACTGTACAAACCGAGTGATTCATCTGCGTCATCATCTTCTACTCCTTTTCCGGAATCAAGAAGAACGCTACCAAGTCTTCCAAAATCTTTATCCACGTCGATAATATCTGCTGAGCAGTACTGCAATAAGGGAAATCAACCTGACAGCATTTGGCATTGGGAAATTATTGATACAGAAAATGAATATGTGCCATCATTTTATCATACTAAGCGATATCATTCGGATGGTTCCGTTCCAGTAGCTTATAAACATGCCAACTTATTGCGAATACCAAATGAACATACCAGATATACTCAAAACAGTCGAGTGGGTAACGAAAGGGAGAGTCGTCTTTCCTCTCCACTGCAGAATAAGCATCTAACTACTAAGCGTGATATTGGCAGTTCTACATCAAATGCGACAACTAGAATCAATACGTGTAAGAAAACGGTGTACATATGCTGATTTGAGATGTCGCAGAAATGATCGAATTGAAGTTCGTCAACCTCTACAGAAGTTAAATGTAAATACACTGGGAAAATGGATTAGGCCAAATAAAAATAACTCAAATGAGGCAGTGGATTTCACACAAGCTGCAGCTGTCAATCAGTCTTCACACCTTACTATGCGAAAATCAGCGAAATCGGTTAGGATAAAGGCTTTAAATATAAAATTTCGTCAGATGGTAAGTGAACGAACTGTTGTACAATGTCACATTTTTCATATATGTGACAAAATAGTATTTAATTGCGTGAAATCTTTTTCAGTCAGCTTAAGTTATTTATTAAGAGGATTTAAACGTGATTTTCAAGTTCTCATCACATTAAAATGCCAAATGGAAGTCAATTTAGTTGAAGTAGGAATTCTTGATAGCATAAAACAGTTGTAGGTTGACAAGTCAAGACTGAAATATTCTTAAAGCGGTTCTGTTTGTTGCCTAGCTGCGCTTGTGTTCTTAATGGCTGAATTTGAAAGGATTCTTGAGATGTCTAACAGATGTTTTGCTGTCAAACTACTAATTTCACTAGTTTTAAGAACTAAGTAAACTTCAGGTTCAAGAGCAAACGCCTAAAATTTGTTTGTTATGTACAGTAAGTGGTTAAGTTGCTTTTGAAAAGTGCTAATTTATTTAGTGGTAACCAGTTTATTAGATTTTTTTAAACTAAGTGCCTAGAACACAAAGCACTCACACGAAATTTGTCTTCATTTCCTACAGAAACCCATAATGAATGGCGTGAAGAGCAGAAGAAACCGCCTACTTGTCAACCGAATCAAATAACGAAAAATGATTATGATTAAGTGAGTTTATATTTACCGTAACGCATTTTACTTTTTATTACATCTCAGCTTTTCAAATATACAATTCATTTTTGCCTTTGAAATTGATATCATTAGTTTTGTATCTTGATAGTGGGAATTCACTTTGTGCAGTAGACAATCTATATTAAATATTTCATTTCAGTGCTTGAAAATGAGTGATTTACGTGACGAAGCTGTAATATTCATTACACCATATGAACTACACTTAAATAAATAATCTGTAAGAGAATTCACTTTTGCAACATTCCTTTTCATGAACACCACTGTCAACCACAATCAAGTGGAAATAACTAATTAAACATTCAATACTGTAATCGATTGTTGGAAAAACAAATAGGATGTAAGTGGTACAGTAATTAAGATTGGAGGCGAAAATTCAATGATACTCTTCTGCAGAAATATCATAAATGCTTTCCACAATGGGAAGATTGATAACGTGCCAGGTTAAAGAATAAAAATCGTCTTTTTGGGTTTGTTTTAGAATAATACCGGGTGCCCCTGGACACCATTTATATGGTCTGCTTTAATACACTCCCCCTTATTTTTAGGTCAATTTTTATTATATATTTAAAACTTAAAAATTAAAGATCATTCAATCAAAGATCTAACAAACTTCGGATTTTCAATACAAACGTCAAGTCAGTTCTCCTATACGGATCTGAAACTTGGCGGGCGGGTCACAAAGAATATTTCCAACAGCCTGTTGCAGACCAGACCTTTATCAACAACTATCTTCGCTGGCTCTATACTGAAGATCAGATGGCCGGGCCGGAAAGAATCACCAACAAGAAACTATGGCGGTGAACAAACAAAACAAGAACCAATCGCCAGCCAACAAATATGCAGGAGAAAGTGGAGATGGATTGGACACTCACTCGCTAAGGAGGCTGGTTGGTGACATCGCACACGCTTCAGGCCATTGCGCGAGTGGAACCCGAAAGGGAGGAGGCGAGTGGGACGTCCAAGGGTGACATGGGGAAGATCGTGTGAAGAGGAGTTGAAAGAGTATGGACTAACATGGATGCAAGTGAAAAGTACAGCAAAAGACAGAAGCAAGTGGAGACGTGCAGTTGAAGCCCTATGTTCCACTAGGAACCCAAGGGAACAACAATAATAATAATAACAATCAAAGATCTTCAATCTAGCCATGTGTGTTTGTTTGTAATAGACAGTAAAATAGCCTAATACTCGGTATTTGCATCAGTAACAAAAATGAATACTTTTAACAGAGTTAGAAAAAAAAAGAACGACAACCAGCAAATGTGTCAGTATTACCGATACGTTTGCTGACTCCTAAATAAACATGGTCAAAAATAATGAACACTTGATAATTTACCAGTAGAGTTCCTCCGACATGGATTGGTAATTTCAAGAAGACTCCTACATTAATATTGGAAATGTATATTACCGATGACCGAGTTAGAGGTAATGTAATGTAAATACAAGTACAATATTATGAAAGTCATACATAAAAAAAATATCATGAACGAATTATACACCACCACATTGGGCTGACTAGTGAAGAAAAATTGAAGTGGTGAAATCTGAGTGGTTGTTTATCTCATCAACGTTGGGAAAATCAATAAGTGTGTAACTCAAATTTTAAAAGATTGATTAGTGAACAAAGAACAGTCATTCATATAACTTCTTCATCAGGTTCTACAATTATTTGCCCATAATAATAACAAATTCAGTGTTTTAAATAACACCGAATCAACAATTTCAATAGATAACGAATAGTTAACAAGTATATGTAAGTGAGAATATGCCTCAGTATAACACTAAACTGAGTATCAAAAAAATTAAGACAAATAACAGAGAATTCATAAATTCACAGGTTTCATAGCAGACCAGGGTATGTATCACTAATGAATGACTGGGCTTGTTTCTTCTGCACAAAGACGGATAGGATTTTTCCAAGCAGAGTGACATGGCTCTTTCTGTTTGGAGTGTTTAGCATTTGGATGCGTGTAGTAATTTATTTGGTACCACACCACCACCAACAACAACAAAATCACCAGGCATTATCGATGGGCTGGTTGACTATCTTGGTGGGACGGTGAACATCTATTTGACATACTAACCAACAACAAAATAATATTAACTCTGACTTGAATATCTTAGCAGAACTCTTGATCTCTCATATAGTATGGTTGAATTCAATCGAGACCTTAGTTCCCTATCCGTCTCAGTGATTGCTATGCCCATATAGCATACAACTTTGTCAGATATTATCGGTAAAATTACTGTTTATTTCGATAGATCGAGCAGTCTTTTAGTACCCTAAAATTATAATATCTGATGTGACAAATCATCAACTATCTAGTCGTTCCTTCTGTAATTATTCTTATTTCTGTTTTCAAATGCAGATCGTTGTAGATGACGCATTCCTTGTGCCTTACTATACGTGATGAGAAGGTTGTCTTTCAGATTGTTGAGTACATTGTAAAGATTGATGCTTCAAATGTTATTGTTATTATTCATAAAAGATTATGACTTTTGTTGGAATGAAAAGAGAAAACAAGAATGACGTTTTGAAAGTTTACGTTAATCTTTCGCTTGTTCGAATATCAGCAATGCTGTGTTACTTCTTTTTACTTACTGAATTTGCGTATGCAGACAAGAGATTTCACTGGCGCAATTATCATGCAAGCATGTGCACAATTGATAAACAGTGTGATATCTCTAAAATATTTGTGTTTATGGAGTTCATCTTGTTATAAGTCGTTCCTACGCTTATTCTCATCCAGGTGATGGATAGAAATGAACAAACAATTTGCCATTTGTGTTGTTGTTGTTGTTCTTGTTTCTTTTACACAGTCTTTCGACTGTTTGTTCTTCTTGATAAACTTTTTTTGTTAAAATGTTGAATAAAACGCGGTATAATGATGAAGAATTAAAGTGTTTTTATTTTTTCAAGTAGTTTGTATTCTAATGTCACTGTTCGAAATACTTCTTGAGGTATATAGTGACTGATTATCCCTTTGTCTTTACCAGTGAAAAGAGACTGACCTATGGAAGCATTGTAATTACCCACTTAAGACTAGGAATTCACATTCAAGTCACACATAACTTCACTCACTGGTTGGTTGGTTGGTTGGTTTCAGCTACCAAGTAACCGAGAATTGTGACTAAATGAACGATTGATCATCTTTGCCTCAAACTACATTTCAGTTACCTATTTCAGCTAGATTATAAAGTTGGCATTTCTTAAACTTTATGTAAATATCAACTCTATGACAATAATGGTTGGATCATGCAGCATAAATAGTATAATGATTAAGAGGCGGGTATTCATTTCTATAGTAAAATCTTAGTACATATGTACATGATGACAGTATGCAAATTCCCATATATTGAAATCTATAAAAAATTGAAAAAGCTCTACGATTATTCTATATTAGCGTAGTATGTCCTAACAAGTTGGCTAACATAAGATAGATGATTTGAAAGGAGTCAATTAGTTTCCAGTGAAGAGTATCAAGTGAGTAACTATCGTTGTTGTTGTTTCTGTTGTTACTGCAATTCTTATAGTTAGTTTGAGACTCATGCGTAATTAAGACGCCCATCAGCAGCATAGTGAACTGATTTCAGCAACCTGACAGATAGGAATAGTAAAGTGAAGAAAGTTGATAGATAGACAACGATACAGTTTTCATACTGTGCCTTTTGTTCATAGCTGTTTGCCATCTATGAATAGTGACTACTGAAATCCAACCTAACAGTTACCCGTTGATAAGATGCCAGTTGAAGCTGGAGACCAAGTTCAGTGTTATGTACAAATGAAAGAAACAACTACCTAGCACCCCTTAAGTATTATACACATCAAAAGACTAACTGCATCAGCTTCTATACTTATCTATGCATAATAATTAAGAAATTACATTTACTGACAACACTAAGCTTATTGGTATTAATAGCGTCTAATCACTGACATCAAAATTTCAAGAGGCATAGGAGAGTAGATAGTCAATGGATTAAAGTTCAAAACAAACAAGTCATAATCAGTTGAAAACATATATGTTGTTAATTCCTTTCCTACCTGTTCATTCTCAATCTTTCCTTTGTTCAACATTATACTACTTGCCATTAGTAAGTAGTATGAGTTTTATATGTTAATTTATAACAATGACATTTGCTTACAACTGCAGTTAAATTACTTGTTCTATTATCATTCTATTAATGTATAGTTCTTATTTTTCTTCTCCTTAAACATTACTTGCTGCATTTACCCTATAGTGTATGCTTTACTACTGAAAGTTGTTTGTTCATCTTTGTTTATTCTTTGCTTGGCATTCGCGGGCCGTTTGAACCGACACGTGGATCGACCTTGACACAGTATTGCTGTTTTTACTTATTGACTGCACAGTGGTTGTGCATTTGACGGCATTTAGCCACAGACACCTCACATTTTGAGGTTTGTATATTATATATCTATTTTTATGTAATAAAGTACCGTATTGCAGAATATCCTGTATTTTGGACTTTACGCGTCACTCTACGTGTGGTTAAATCTATAGTTTGGATTATCGTTTCGGATTTCTTTCGGGAGAAATTCACATATGTATGCATGATAATATAAATGAATGTAAGACCAAATTGAATATCAGATTTCGAAAGTGAGCAGTCATCACTAAGATGGCCACTCAAAATAATAATCAATCTTTTGAAACATACAGCTACGAATGCTCATGATTAGTGTTCACATTGGGTCAAATTCATTTAGAAGTCTAAAGCGCACAGCATTTTATTTGCAAAACAAAATATGTATCTGTTGACTAAGTTGAATGATAAGAAAGATGCAAGCTAAAAAAAGTAATTGCTGTAGGTCAATACAGTTCAACGTTTGACCATTCATTAGAAAAATCGAATTAATGTTTTATATAATATAAGTGGAACTGACAATTCCAAACTAATCATATTCCAGATTTGGTAAGGCTTTTGAAAAATAGAATAATGCAGTGGGTTTTCTTAAGATAAATGAAGGCTAAACAGATGATTACGAATGTGTTGCAGTGATTAGATAAAATAAATCAGATGGCAGTACTATTTAAACCAAACATCTCCATATTAATTTGTTAGATGGTGACCAGCAGCGGAATCCAGGATGCGCATTTCGTCCCGTCATTGGCCGTGTTTCCTCGAGACTCAAAACCAGTACCCTTCGTTTCAAACTCCGAAGCGTTATCCTTTCACGGATATAAGATATATAAGACGGAGTGCCCATCCTGGATTCCACTAGTAGTCATTATTCACAAATATACTTGACGTTCATCCTCAGACATTGTCGAACTGTCCGTACTAGAAGCCGACATGTCATCACAGTCCGGATATTTCGGTCCCGAATCGATCATCGGGAAAACCGAAATCAAAATCTCAAACATCTCCTCATTACTTATATAGAAACTTATCAATCCACTAATCACACATAAAAGATAATAGGATCTCTTTTTCATGTATGTGGGCAGGAATTCAGAGTGAAGTAGGTATAGATTTACAGTTGACTTCAAGAATGAAACGGAAAGCACTCATAGAAGGGGACGGAGTCATAAGCTTAGAACTTAAAGTTCTGAGTCAAGAAATCAGTGATAAACCGGCAACCGTGTTTACCAAACACCAAGTTGTAATTTGAGTCTCTTGATTACATGAGTCTTGATAAAATGATGAACTCTATTTGGTTATTTCCTCTTTTAAACAGTCTTCATTACTCTAAACACAAATGTCCTCGACTATGCGATTTAATCAAATAGGCATGGAAGTCCTCATGTATTTGTTTTAGTCCATGAGTATGAAGTAGGAGATGTATTCACCTGTAGAATGCGTCAGGGAGGTTATTCAGTTTTAAACGAATTGTCTTCATTACTAGCTACTTGAATAATCTACAACACAATGCTAGTATCTGAATGGATTGTATATGTTAGTAATCATAAGCTCTAAGTCTTTTGCCAGCCATAGGTACTGCTAAAGGAAGTTAAAGCAGTGTCATATTTTGTTATCCATCTTGCTTACGAAATTAAACCGGATGACGCTTCCACTTCCTCAGGTAATTTAGGCCTTTCTGCAGACAATTTTACTGTTAGCGAAATTCGAGACTGTTTCCATGGATCAATAATCGAGATTTATGATCATGATAGTGATCAGTTCGCCATAGATTAGATCAGATTTCTCTCAGTCGATATATAAGCTGAAAGAGTTCCTCATTGAAAACCAATCGACTGCAAAGCTGTGTTCATACGATGATATAGACAAACATACGAAGTTTCAGTACATTTCAGTCCATATGCAAGGTGATTTACTCCTAATTGTCTGATTACTTGGGAGAGTTCAGACAACCATTTGCTGTTGATCGACTAGCCTGAAGGCATTTTACAAATGTTACAGTGATTTATTTCATTTCCTATTGGATATTTTCTGAAGTTATTTTGTTGTCTTATTCACTTAGCATGTTAGTTTTGTATCAATTCGAAAAAGTACAACTACATTTTCATTCTTCAGAACAGAGGCCTAGAGAATCAAAATGGTAGTATTATTCTCAAGCGAATGAAATCTTCAGTAGAATTAATTAGACTCAAGAAACTGGAATGCTGCATTGTTTACGAACAAACTTCCGACATTTGTCTTGTACTAAGTCAGTGAAACAAACCGATTGCAATAAAATGTATAGTTTAGTTAAGCATAACCCCTACTACAGGTTTACCTCAACTAGGGATTTACCTGTTGTTTGCATTTTGCTGGATGGAAATGAACCGTGTTTATTAGCGTATGTGCTCCTAGAAAATCTGGCTAGAGGCACCTTGATTTAAATTTGATACTGTCTATTATCTGCAGTGGCCAACCGTACAATTCACGATATATGTTTAGTCCTCTTTGGATGCAGGTGCGTACAACCGGAAATGTCGTCCCAGTAATGACATAAGTTGCCTCTGAAGACGATTAGCATCACCTTGTCGAAATTATTCTGAATTTCTTATCGAAAGAGCTTACTGGATCGTTATACTCAATCCTTGTTAACATATCGGCTTGTAGTACAGAGCTATGTCACTACCACAAGGTCAACTTGATTCTACTTGATTGATGTTTGGTCCGGGATGGGTCAGATGTTAACCGAATAATACTTAGAATCACTCCATAAAGGTGTTTGCGACAAAATAAGGCAGTATCTCGACATAATGCTGACATCTGACTTGCTTTCCACTTGATATTCATGTACTTGTAGTGAAATAATAATAACTGCAGATGTGGTTGTTAAGATGGCCTGCGAAGCCATTGACATTAACACAGCATACAATACATGGCTGCATTCTAGAAGTGCTTTCTATTAATTTATGATATAACACTATTCGGTTTCCTATAAGAAGTTAGTAATACTCCATTTCAGAACATATTCCTCCTGACGACATTCGAACATCCTACAGGCTTTACCTACATAGGTGCGTTTGCAATTGCAGGCGAACTTGTAGACACAATGAGAATTAGAAGGAGGAACAATGTTCAGGAGAAGAAATACAGCGCAAAATTTGCGCTTAATAGATGACTGAAGACTCTGAGCTGTCAACTGTATGATTCTGTCTTCCTTAAATGGTAGTCTAATGAAAATGGCCTTCTTCGTTGGTGTTTTACTGTGTCGTACAATAAAGTTTTCGGCCTATCCATCAACCGGCAAGACTGAATCTATTTTCATAGATTATCGTGTCACTAGTGCTGATTTGACGGACTCTTGAAAAGAGGAAACATTTGTGCTGCACACAGTCCATTCCATATTTGTTTTTACCAGGAATAAAATTATAAAACTGTAAGCCCTAGAAGAAGGGAAGTCAGTCTGCTTTTTCACAGTTACACTAAATGTAAATCAGACGATGGTTAAGTACCTAACACTTCATCAGATTACTGATTTATCTGAAAGGATCATTACTAAAATAGTGTTAACATGTTTTGTAGTTGGCGTTTTTTTTTCTTGAGTCAATTTTCTATATTAAATTACATTATATTATCCTTCTAATTCGAGTCTGAAAAATGTGAAGCATTTTCTATTCGAATGCCTCGGAAATCATAGTATAGTGTCCCAGAGAATGATTCGGCAGTCTCCTTATCTCAGAACCAAGATTTAATATTTGTCTTACGATCAGTCAATATTCATGACTTGCTCTCTTCAAAAGGAATAAGCAAGTATGAAGTGGAGGTGTAGTCACAAACTTCAATGGAGATGTACTTAATCGGTTGTTCTGAACGATTATGAAGTCACTTCTTCCTAAAACCCAAACTATGTTATCATCCGATAATTGTCAAGAAATGGCAAATGAAGTTGGCAATAGAATTTTGCCAACGATTCGACTCAATGCTCCGTTGACTTATATTAAATAGCATGTTTCTAAGTCATTCAAAATACGTAGGATTATGAGTGAACTAGTATTTGGACACATTCACTCTAATGTATTTGAGTAGCCTAGCAACATGGCGTTTATCTTCCGACAGCGCTTTGCATACTAACTTTTGAAGCTGACTCGTAAATAATCGCATGGAGTTTCCGAACTTCAATCAACTGGCGAAACACTGGTCAGAATTACCGTTCGATAAACTATGCATTACATAATAACTTGAAAACCTCCCCACTTTGTTATATCCCAGTCATTAATCAACCTACCTACAGTCACCATATACATATTTAAGATATGTATGAGTTTACACTGAACCCGTGTTTTATTTCCGTAAGTCATGAATATTTGACCGAAGTAAAAACATGTAACTTTCCTTCAAGATCGAAACAATCAGTGTAAGCTATATTTGTAAAGTTGATCCCCTCTTTCCTCTTCATCAATAGGTGATTTGTGATAGACACAAAAATAGTACCAATCAATGGAAAATTTACACTGAAAGGTTGATAAGTAAACATACTAACACTGTGAGACATTTGTCAATTTTTGTGTGTTGTACGTGATGAAGATCTCCAGTAAAAGTAAGGTAGCACGGAAAGTAGAAACAGGCATGAATATGTTTCACGCTAAAATGATTAGGCCAACTAATCAGGTAAAGATTTTCTGTTAATTGATCAGCAATACTTTCTTCTCTCCTTCAGGAGAAAATGAGGTCATAAAACACGTGTGTTCAATGAATTTTTTTAATGTAATCTTTTATACCTATGTATTGCTTATTCCTTTCAAACAGACGAGTATGTGTGTGTATGTGTGCACACAGGAAACTGCAGTTATCAAACACACGAGTTACTGCATATCTGTAGAAAAGATCAACAACTAATCATACTTTCCATGCATGCAAGCATATATTTAAACTGTTTTCGTTATCTGGGTCAAAGAATAAAATGTAGGTAGATTGACGAGGTATTTTACACTCCCGAACACTCATGTATGTAGAATTCTCTCCAGACAAAATGTGCGTGTGTGTGTGTGTGTGTGCAGTTCTCATAAGACTAAAATAAATACCCATCAAACCTGATAGAAATTTAAAGTATACCGTTGTTCTAGTACAGTCCATAATCTTAAAAATATACTAATTGTGTCAGTTAACATCAACGATTCTCTCGATAATTAACCGTATTATGTACACTTTCAGTAATCGTTAGCACGGAATGATGAAGTCTTTGCAACTGTTTTATGGTAAGCTGGTTCCGAATTGCATACTGACTGCTGTGGTAGTAGTAGTAGTAGTAGTAGTAGTAGTAGTAGTAGTAGTAGTAGTAGTAGTAGTAGTAGTAGTAGTAGTAGTAGTAGTAGTAGTAGTAGTAGTAGTAGTAGTAGTAGTAGTAGTAGTAGTAGTAGTAGTAGTAGTAGTAGTAGTAGTAGTAGTAGTAGTAGTAGTAGTAGTAGTAGTAGTAGTAGTAGTAGTAGTAGTAGTAGTAGTAGTAGTAGTAGTAGTAGTAGTAGTAGTAGTAGTAGTAGTAGTAGTAGTAGTAGTAGTAGTAGTAGTAGTAGTAGTAGTAGTAGTAGTAGTAGTAGTAGTAGTAGTAGTAGTAGTAGTAGTAGTAGTAGTAGTAGTAGTAGTAGTAGTAGTAGTAGTAGTAGTAGTAGTAGTAGTAGTAGTAGTAGTAGTAGTAGTAGTAGTAGTAGTAGTAGTAGTAGTAGTAGTAGTAGTAGTAGTAGTAGTAGTAGTAGTAGTAGTAGTAGTAGTAGTAGTAGTAGTAGTAGTAGTAGTAGTAGTAGTAGTAGTAGTAGTAGTAGTAGTAGTAGTAGTAGTAGTAGTAGTAGTAGTAGTAGTAGTAGTAGTAGTAGTAGTAGTAGTAGTAGTAGTAGTAGTAGTAGTAGTAGTAGTAGTAGTAGTAGTAGTAGTAGTAGTAGTAGTAGTAGTAGTAGTAGTAGTAGTAGTAGTAGTAGTAGTAGTAGTAGTAGTAGTAGTAGTAGTAGTAGTAGTAGTAGTAGTAGTAGTAGTAGTAGTAGTAGTAGTAGTAGTAGTAGTAGTAGTAGTAGTAGTAGTAGTAGTAGTAGTAGTAGTAGTAGTAGTAGTAGTAGTAGTAGTAGTAGTAGTAGTAGTAGTAGTAGTAGTAGTAGTAGTAGTAGTAGTAGTAGTAGTAGTAGTAGTAGTAGTAGTAGTAGTAGTAGTAGTAGTAGTAGTAGTAGTAGTAGTAGTAGTAGTAGTAGTAGTAGTAGTAGTAGTAGTAGTAGTAGTAGTAGTAGTAGTAGTAGTAGTAGTAGTAGTAGTAGTAGTAGTAGTAGTAGTAGTAGTAGTAGTAGTAGTAGTAGTAGTAGTAGTAGTAGTAGTAGTAGTAGTAGTAGTAGTAGTAGTAGTAGTAGTAGTAGTAGTAGTAGTAGTAGTAGTAGTAGTAGTAGTAGTAGTAGTAGTAGTAGTAGTAGTAGTAGTAGTAGTAGTAGTAGTAGTAGTAGTAGTAGTAGTAGTAGTAGTAGTAGTAGTAGTAGTAGTAGTAGTAGTAGTAGTAGTAGTAGTAGTAGTAGTAGTAGTAGTAGTAGTAGTAGTAGTAGTAGTAGTAGTAGTAGTAGTAGTAGTAGTAGTAGTAGTAGTAGTAGTAGTAGTAGTAGTAGTAGTAGTAGTAGTAGTAGTAGTAGTAGTAGTAGTAGTAGTAGTAGTAGTAGTAGTAGTAGTAGTAGTAGTAGTAGTAGTAGTAGTAGTAGTAGTAGTAGTAGTAGTAGTAGTAGTAGTAGTAGTAGTAGTAGTAGTAGTAGTAGTAGTAGTAGTAGTAGTAGTAGTAGTAGTAGTAGTAGTAGTAGTAGTAGTAGTAGTAGTAGTAGTAGTAGTAGTAGTAGTAGTAGTAGTAGTAGTAGTAGTAGTAGTAGTAGTAGTAGTAGTAGTAGTAGTAGTAGTAGTAGTAGTAGTAGTAGTAGTAGTAGTAGTAGTAGTAGTAGTAGTAGTAGTAGTAGTAGTAGTAGTAGTAGTAGTAGTAGTAGTAGTAGTAGTAGTAGTAGTAGTAGTAGTAGTAGTAGTAGTAGTAGTAGTAGTAGTAGTAGTAGTAGTAGTAGTAGTAGTAGTAGTAGTAGTAGTAGTAGTAGTAGTAGTAGTAGTAGTAGTAGTAGTAGTAGTAGTAGTAGTAGTAGTAGTAGTAGTAGTAGTAGTAGTAGTAGTAGTAGTAGTAGTAGTAGTATAGTAGTAGTAGTAGTAGTAGTATAGTAGTAGTAGTATATTATAGTATATAGTAGTAGTATATAGTAGTAGTAGTAGTAGTAGTAGTAGTAGTAGTAGTAGTAGTAGTAGTAGTAGTAGTAGTAGTAGTAGTAGTAGTAGTAGTAGTAGTAGTAGTAGTAGTAGTAGTAGTAGTAGTAGTAGTAGTAGTAGTAGTAGTAGTAGTAGTAGTAGTAGTAGTAGTAGTAGTAGTAGTAGTAGTAGTAGTAGTAGTAGTAGTAGTAGTAGTAGTAGTAGTAGTAGTAGTAGTAGTAGTAGTAGTAGTAGTAGTAGTAGTAGTATGGAAACACGTATGTTAGTCTTTGGGCATGGAATCTACTCGACAGTGAGAACATGATATTGTTAGTCGAATTGACCAGTAATTATCTATTTCAGAAATTAAATCAGTATGCGACTAGACAGTTAAGTCACATGCCTGAGAGTTTGTAATCAACAAACAAAAGTTAATTTTCAGTGAGTGAGTTCTATTCACATTTTCAAGAGTTGGTTTGCATGGATTAGATTTGTTTTTCGAGTTTGACCACTGACTGATATCAGTTAGAGAACCGTTGAAAACCAGGATGTACTGAAAAGCCGTTTCATCCTAGCTTATCCACATTTCTCCTACACCACTGAATCTGACTCACCCACTGAAACTCAAATTTTGTTAAAGTATGTTGGTGAGAACACAAGCATGTAATTTCTCTCTGTCTCTTTATCCAGGCCAGAGGACATAACTAAAGTCTGTCTACAGGCTTTCACAACATCAAAATATGAGGACAATTATCTTGATATTAGTAAGTCATGATATTTAAGAGTGTTCAACTAACTTTCTTTATGCATGCTAATAGCATGTAGATAGTAGACATGTAAACTATATTTTTAATGATAGCAAAATTCAATAATATTTGCTCTCTTTACTTAAACCGCTATGCCCCTGAAAGGACTCGATGCCTAAACATGAATACAGGATTACAACAAATATGAGGATCCAGGCCAAGTCAGTTTCTCCCAAAATAGTTGAACGATCTTATGTTCTGTTTCTCCTTTCTTCAAGATATCCACTACTCCCAAGAAGTTAACCTCGAGAAAAATAAACACCTTACTCTGTTAAATTCGTCAACACTAATCAACAACAACGTTATGGGCTTTATAATAACTAAGATGGTTAACTCTAAAGATAACAGATACGATTGCTTGTTGTCGCAAAAGATGAAACAGGGTGATTTTAGAAGCACTCATTCGACAGACTCTGCAGGTGAGTATTTCGTGAACTATTATCAAATGCATTATAGCGGCGAATAATTTGCAGAATTATTGACATAATGCTGCACGGGTTGGTGACCACTATTAAGGTTGACTGACCAAGCTGACGGTATGTCGTCAAAAATCCAAGCCATTCGGAATGCTATCATGTCACGTCCAATTGTCTATGGAGGACAATTAATTCTTAATCTTGAATTAACAGTGAAGAAATCGTAACTTATTTTGTATTTTAGGTGGCCCCATTGTTGTTTACGATGAGCTTACTAAGTGCCCAAGTTTGTGAATATCCATCATGGATAAAACTGAGACATTTTTGGGAGAAGGTGGAAATTGGGAAGACATTTTCGGAGGGAATATAATCAGAAAAAGTTCACGAAAAAGGGGAAACCCATAATATTTCCTGATGACTTTGCAGGCTACTGACAAATTGTCAGCAGTTTATATTGTTTTGAAACACTCAGTAAACTGTTTCGTTTGAGAAAGGAATTAGTATTCTGCCGAAGTAGTTCAAGTAAAAGCACTAAGGAAGGAACACTGTTAGACTACGCGCCTTCCATACACTACTGACATAAGTGTCTTTCTTCTACGCATTACTGCCTCTCTGAATGAGGAAATGCGTAATCCATGGTTGATTCTTGAAGTCCTCTGTCCGTACTGTTGATGGGAATACTTAAACTCCTTTATGTGAATCATAAAAATTACCATGACTTCATCAAAAATCATTTTAGATAAGGTAACCAAGAAATGAATTCGTCAATTGTGATAGTAACTTCGTCTGTTGTTTATGTGCCCCACTGCCAAATGTGAAGCGCTCGATTTAACACTGTATACAATGCAGGTAAGTGGTCGATCCGGTGCCTGATCATGTGTTCAGTAGTCTAACTCTCACAGACCTGAGTTAAGCGTGAAAACATTACGTGAATGTGACCAATGTCTAAACTGCAGTTCCCTGATATTTCACAGGAGTTTTAGATAAAGATGTTCAAGGAGGATGGCAGATCTGTCGTAGCTTCTTCTTCTTCTGTGAGAACTGGAACCGTTAGCATACAGACCAAAGAATTGCAATGACCACCCTGTAGGATGCAGACATCAATCGCCACTACTTCAGGGGTGTACTCTGAAAGCCATTCTGAAAGTCATGAAATGAAGAATACGATACTTAAAATCACAGTCTCCACGAGTACCTCCCAAGCCAATGATAACAGAATCTTAGGCATCTTCTGTAGGATGTGGCCTCAGTTGCCTACGAATATTCTAAGTGTCTTGAGAATATGTGGATCTCACAAGTCAAAGCAAACCGGGAGGTGGAATATACTGTCATTTCGATTTCTGGGAACGTCTGCCGTATTATACAGAAATGTACATGAGCGATGGTCCTGTTTAGAAGACCAATTTGTAGCTGATTGTTGACGGATCTTCCTTGTCTGTCTTCTAATCGACACTTCTGACGTCTGTTAAGCAGAATAGCAGCACCTTAGGCGGCGGTTTCCTCATAGCGATTTAGAATTTCAGCTCTGAGATGTATCAAGTCGAGGTCTATTTGCAGCAAGGATAAACAGGCATGTCATAGTTTATTTGAAATCTGCAATCTGTGACGTAGCAGTTGGAACACAGGTTAGAAGAATTGTAGGTTATAATTGCAGTGCTGGATATGATAAATGCTTAGTAGCAGGGAAGCGAGTCGATGGAGAAACGGCCATTGTAAAATGGCACCTTTCAATTCAGAAATAATGACAGCTTCTGTTGCAGAAGTCAACCAATTAGTCACAGAGGAAGCTCTATATCTTAGAGTTTAATCAATGATACGGTTAACGTTTTCCACTTTACCCCGTACACCTAGTATATATTTAGATGCAGTGAGGAAGCTTACAGGTCTTTGGCAAGATTTAGCCGAATGGGGGATTTATTGAATACCACTGAATTGAAGATATTACGTAGTGGAAGACTGACAACTTTAGACTTCGCAAGAAAACACAAAAGCCTTTTGTGTATCAGCAGATGAACGGCAACTAATTGTTTCCTTTTTCTCGGTTACTTTGCACCTGTCTTACTCGAAGAGATTATGCCATCTAGCATATACTGCAACTCCCATCTACTTAGTCTAGCTGTGTACCTTCTCTCCACCCAAACACACTAACGGCATTTCAAGAAAGGCTCTAAATACGAGCTCATTAATTTCGTCAAAGAATTTGAAATTATTTGTGATAGGAAACACTTAATTTACAATATTCAATGTCTGTGACATGTTTTCAGAATCATATTGGATAATTTCATTTGAAGTTGGGAGTGGTGTAGTGCACCTACCACGGCACAGAGATACAGCTGCAGCTAAAACAAGTGGATCAAACTGAATTAACTTGACGAGCGAGTGTATAGGGTGTTCTGAGTTTTGTTTTAACTAGTGTGCGTCTGGCCCGGCTAGAACACTGTATGTATTTCGTTTATACTGGCCGGATAAATTACGATATCCTAACAATCCTATAACAATATTGCATTCATCATGCTTAAGTATTATCCTCTGTGGAGCACAGTTCCGAACAGATGAACTCTTTTGAATTGTTTTGCTGTCAGCACTTAGGGGTTAGTCGAGCTACCAGTGTGTTCAGTAAGGATGGTGAAGCCTAGCACAATAACTGGACATCCAATGACTTACAAGCCTTTCACTGCTTCTTCGAAACTAATCTAAACGTATTTAATTCTCCGGGATAGAATTTTGACTCTATTTTGTTGATTACACTCTTATTGTTTCTGAACTGTTTAAAGACTATGAGTATTAAACTGTTTATCCAGTGTACTATACACTCCGTATGACAATAATATTTGAACTGGATATCCATCCAGCGGGATTACTAAGATACATCTGTCACTTCGTTATAACTAATTACAGTTTTATGGAGATGCGCATTTTATCACGTTAAATCCTGTTTTGACATTGTTGAAATATAGTCTTCAACTGCTCAGACTCAAGAGTGTTTATTAAACTAGGTGCACGGATGCAACAAATTGTTTGGATCACATTACCGTGATTTTATTCAGCTTTCTGTTGAATTCCAACTGAACTCCAGTCGACAGCGGATAATCCGAATATCTTTGATACATACGGGTGCAGTTCCAACATTTCAGGGATTAGTCAGTCAGATCGTGTGTTCACCGTATTTCGTATGCACCTGCAGTGTGTTAGTTGTTACTACTTCAGGAGAAATCACCAACGTAGGTCATCTGAGGAAAATGAATAAATATGCAATAAATAAGTTTGGAAGATATATCAGAACTACAGCTTCCTTGAATGGTTTAATCAATCACGCTTAATTTCGCATTTCATCAACTTTCATGGTCGCTTTATTCGCATACGAACTACTGTTTGTGTGACTGCTAACCAACTGCTTAAGTGGACCTACCTAGTTAACCTGTTCGTAATTCATATGGGGTGACCATCCATAATGCACAATGAATCATCTAGGCAAATCAAATATCTAATGGTAAGGTAGATCACAAAGCATTTCCAGAATCCTTAAAAGTGTTGATTAGGTAGTCAGAAAAGATATACTTTGGAGTACTGAAATGGTTTTGCACCTGTGTAAGCCAACCTCTTTTCAACACTGATACTGCTAATAATTCTTCAAAAAGCATTAGATTTGCTTTAATTTTCAATCCACCCATTAATTGATTTCTTCAAAATCCTTATTCCCTCGTTTTCAGAGTCTGTTCTTAGGGACAAATGAATGCATACGGCTGTTCTTGAACATGAGCCCTCTAGCTACCATAACACTAAGCGAAATTATGTGGGCGACTGATGAACGCAGTGATCAAGCAGCCGTTTAGACATATAAAATGGCTCTACTCTTCTTTAACAGGATGCAACATCAGTATCTTTCCAATTGATCATTATCTGAATAACTAAAGTTAATAGTTTGCTTACAACTTTAGCATACTTCGTTCATTAGACAAACAAATGTCGAATAATAATTAAAAAGGATCATGGTCTATAGATAAATCGATAAAAGTGAGTCACTCAACTTCCAATTCTTGTCTAATCACTAGGGTGAATCACCGACAGAGTTCATTTAAATAAATGTTCTGTATTGCACTACGATATTCAGAGGCATAAACAATACGATGACGTAATTCACTAGTGAGTGGCTAAAATTGTTAGTAAACAAATGAGATATGCAAAAAACACTGTGAGTTAGACTCACTTAGTTAGATATCAAACAGATGAATCACAATGTTTAACAAGTGGTGGTGTGTGTAACTGAGTGAATAGAAACCACTTACACTTAATAAGGGCTGACACACAAGACTCCCACATGACCAAATGAAGAACACATGAGTCAGTTAAACCATCTCTTTCAATAACTTCACCTCAAAGCCGTACGCTTAATAAGAGACTTATGTGTATACAATGTTAGTCAAGAATAAAAGTCAGAGGTCATTATTAATTAGTATGTCTCAGAGTGTATGAGAAACAACAATGTGTTAGAAATACTTGAATATCTTATATAATCTAGACAGGGTTGACAACTAATTGGCTTTAATACGCAACAGATCAGGAAGATAAAACTGACACCAAGGCTGTGGTAGTAGAAGAGGCTGGATAAAACCT